AAAACATAATTGTGCTGGTTTGGCTGTTTTCACAATGAGAAATCCATACTTGCACAAGTGCCAACCAGTGTATTCAACCACCATGCTAGCATCAAACATGGAAATAGACCAACCACTTATAAACCTCTGAAGGCTGCAATTTAGATACATCCTTGGACCCACTTAACAGTTGTACACTGATGCTGCAGAGGTCTACGTTTAAGAAAGCCTGCATCTCTCTGTCTTTGTGCCATTGTTTTATTCCTCGCAGTTTCCCACTCTGAGAGAAAGATTCTGCCTTCCGTAGTCTCTAAATCCCACACCTCCCAGAACAAACACGTCTGTTCATCACACTTTCTCCATTCTCTTTTTGTTTTTTTGTTTCTGGGATTCTGGTGACATTTCAAAGTGCCAGATCCTTGCCTTGAGACATTGTGCATGTGCCCACACCTCTCCGCCCCCAAAAATACACATCCATACATACACATAGAAAGCAGATACACACACTCCTTGCCTGGAGCCAGGCCCCTCTGTGCTCATCTACCTCAGAGAAGCTGGAGCTTGGCATAGAGAGGAGGCTCCGGTGGATTCTGTGCTCCGCCTGCCAATGCTGCTCTTTTGATCTGCAGCCAGCTGATGACAGATCTACATTAAGCTCATAGTCTTCTCTCTTTCGCTGTGCTTCTCCTCTCCTCTTCCCTGACACTGGGGCAAAATGGTACTGTAAGTCCACAAGCATTGGTGGGAATTGACATCCCGTGGGGTCACCAAAATGAGAGAAATATAGAATGCTGAGTGGGTTTCCAGCTTGCAGAAAAATACCATGTGGGTGTAGGCCAAAGATAGTGCCATATCAACAATCCTTTACACATATGATGTGTACCTCCAAGTTTTGAAGGAAAAATCCACCCTTTAATTTACTTATTAGATTAGATGTTGTTACATTTTTATATTATTGAATGATTAGTGAGTTTACTTCAGCGAGTTATTTTGTTGTGCCCACTTGCCTTGAACTTTTTCTTGTACCTGTGTTTTAGTTACACATTCTTAAAATCATCTTACATAACCTAAAGAAAAGGGCATCTCTTCTAGTTTAGAAAAGGTGAGGCAAGAACATAAAATTGTTAACATGTCTAGTTGTTCATATTTTCAGAAACTCAGCAAGAGACTATGAGGTTGCAGTTGGTGAAATGTCTGTTTCTACATTGTCTATGATGGATTTTTCTCTGTGTGAATGCTGAATGTGGGTGATAAGTCTAGACAGAAGCCCTCTGTCTCTGGTTCTGAGTGACGGACATAATAAACCAGATGCTTAGAATTAATGTGTCAGACTGACAGCATACAATAGTTCATGAAACTCTATTAGCTCTACCGGAAAATTTTAGGCATAAGAAAACATTATTACAATGTTTGAGTGGATTTTCTTTTAACTGAAAAAATAAATCTTAAGATTTGGAGGCAATTTTGGTTTGCAATGATTAGGTCCATAGACACAGCTGCCAAATCACTGAGCACATTGTATTCTAAGCTAGACATCCCCCTGGTACAGTTCAAAATTAATTAGAAAATGAAAAGCTTTACAATCATGAAGGGGTTCTGACAAGTCTTCTTTTTAGGAGAAAACCTAAAAATTTCTCTACAATGCATAAAAAGCTGAGAGATCTGGTAATGCAACATAACTTGATGGTAAAACACTGTACTTAATGACCATCATTTGAAAATTGGCACAGAATATACCACTCAACAGTGTGAATGACACTGTTCAGGCTGGTTTTTCTCTGCTGCTCATAACCTCAACAGAAACCACAACTCTTTTCTAGCTGACCAACCATCATCACCATCAATAACAGACTAGTTTAGCAAGTTGCAAAGTAGAAGTGCAGAAATTGTACTCAACTGCCTTAATGTTTGTATTATGACACATTTATCCAAGTGCTTGTGAAAAATAGAGAGTGAGAGCAATTATATAGGATGCATGGCTAGCAGCTGCTGATGAACGAGGAGTGACGGGCGGTGATAGAGGCTCACCATTAGAAAAACACTGCCAGCTGTTATTTCTAAAGGGGATCATCTGCTTATTACTGCGATATCCAGTAGGAATAGCTCTCCATCGCATTATTTAGCATGGCAGGCGGCTTTAAGCGAAGTGCAACTTTGTGCTGATAGGTGAAAACACTGTCTTTTCTGTTTTAGCCACTACTGTTTTTTCTCAGATTCTGTGATGGAGAATATAAATTTGAAGGTAAGGGAAAAACAGCAGATAGCATTTGGTTGGAGATCGCTGTGTTGTTGGTGTTTGTCATTACAGAGCTGTCCTTTGATTCAGAGGGGAAATCCTTTTGTGTGGGCTGTAAAGTGGCAATCAGCCACACACATTACCATTCAAATGGTCACTGTAAAGTTTCTATGAGGAGGTCATGGCCTCTCTCAGTGGATGAGAGAACACTATTATGTTACAATCTTTAAGATCATTTACTGTATTTTTGTGGGGCATGGAGAACATAATAGTGAACACAGACACATACGACTTATGATTTTAACTGTATCTCTATGTTTGATACATTGCAGTGCAGCACATGTAGATATTTAAGTTTCCCCAAACACTGGTGCAACGGAGGAAAGAATGGGTCTATATACATGAGAAACAGTGAAAATGAGACAAATGTAAGCGTCAACACAAGAGCCAGAGTGCAGGCGAGCATAAGAGGGAGAAAAAATGATGGCAGCTACACGCTCGCTGTGAATATGTACCTCATACCTAACACACATACCTAACTCAGCGGCTGCAAGGCTGTCAAGAACTAACATAAATAATCATTGCATCTTCTGCAAAATATTGTACAAATGTCAGCTTGAATTAATGCACACCTTGCTTTCAACACCTCTATGATTGTGGTGCTTCATAATTCAACTGTTTATTTAGACAACATCAAAGTGGAAATCACTAATTCGACTCCCATCAACTGCTTTCCCTGATACGGTTTACTTTGGATAAGACTAACTGTGTATTGAGAAGTGTACTGTTTCTTATTGTGTATTTGTGTAAGTTTCACAAACTCTCTTAACTGATCTTCAGTCTATTTTCTTGCTGACAGACTGTATTTGCACTCCTACTCCCAGTGTCCTTTTTTTGTGACAAACGTGTTAATTTCCTGCCCTCATACAGTAGCCTGCACTATATGCAATATTCTTTAAAACCCAGCTCCTCCAGGCTTCCCTGATTTGGAATCTTAGCACACAGCCCTGCTCTGAGCCATGCTGTCCTGTAGAAGAAACAGCTGTTTGCATTAATCTTTAATGTACGCCCACATCGGTATGCCATTGGAGCAGATGAGAATGTAGAGGATCACCTCGATCCTCGATTTAAGCTGTTTCAAGTTGTAGCCGTTTCAGAATGTCAAATGTCTCATTCACTCTGAGTACACCACTTAAAAATGTTACAAGGTTAGAAAAATGAAAACAGCTACAGCAGTTTAACCAAGTTGTGAAACATAGTTCCTTCAGTATGGAATACTAGTGAAAGTATAGAAGCATTGCAAAACCTTTGTGTATTATGATGATGGGCAATTTGTTGGAAATTAATCACAATATAGTAACAATATTATTCCAATGTATGTGTGTACGATATGTGACAATTAACTTGATTTGATTTGTGTAGTATCACCATTTGGCATACGTATGCAAGATCATGTTTCTAAAGTACTCCTAACACAGTCATCTGCTCCCTTTAATTAAGTAAAAAATTACTAAGACTAAGATCATCTATAGGTGTGGTTACAGACAACAAGATAAGTGCACACAACCAAGTCTAACTCACAATAGAAATACATACAAAGAAATGTATGGCAAAATCACATATATACACATATATATACATATTCAAACTGAATTATTTATTTGATATGATCACATCATCACAATATTATTCTTAAAAAAAATTGGATCATTGCCAAAAATAATAATTTATTCACTTTCTGCCTCCAGCGTGATTGGGAAAAGTGGCATTATCTGTTATTTCTTGATTTTACCAACAAATAAACATTGAAATCTAATATTGTTGATTTAATAATTACAGTAACAGAGGGACATATATACAGCTGCAGTGATGGCCCTTATCTCAGAGCTACCTTCTAATACTGAGGTGATGAATTGATTTCTCTGCCACCTAATCGGAGAGGCTGGCTGAGCAAGTGAAATGCTACAGCATATTGAAAAAGAGTCAGTCAGACAGACACACACACAACCCACATACACATTCTGCTGCTGTTTTGTCAGTATGTTTTGTAGTCTTAATTTAGAAGGAAATTTAGAGGCCCCTCTGGGTTTTGCGTCTCACTAAAGAGTTAGTATTTTCTTTTCTTCTCACCTTGTTCCAGCACTTCTATATTCGTCTGCAAAAAACACTTTGGTGAAATACGTTAAAAAGTAAACACCATAAGCTGGATGTGCTGCCCTGCACCGAAGAGCAATGTGGCTGTCAATATGGCTGCGGGTTTACAATTGTTGTGCTTGGCGACTGCTGTCTGTATCACACAAGTGTGAAAAGCAATAACACCACCAAAGTGCAACTGTTGGCGGTCAATATTTTCTCTCCCCGATAAACCCTCTGGGCAGGAGCGTTCCTACGTCTAGCCAACACAAACACAGCTTTGCAGTTTCAATCTGTCACACTGTGTGAATATGGAGCCAGGAAGAAAAAAATATATATAAACCCTTGTCTTGCCACTCTGCATTCTCAGTTTCACAAAGAAATCATCAGAATATGAACTTTAAAGATTGCCTGAGATAAAGTCACACTCCTTGTCAGTGTCAACAGGGTTAAAAACAACTCTTTGTTAAAAGCAAATTAGTCTTTATGGCTGTTGCACAGATACTTTGATTCAGTTTACCTTTTCTAATGTCATTTCTCTGCAGGAGAACATTTAATGGAAAAGCTATCTGAGGCAGCTACTGTGAACTAGAAACAAAAGTACGATGCACATTTTTATGATCAAAAACAAACAGCGAGAGGAAAAGATTACCTTATGAAAGTCAGATGTGTTTGTGGGAGAAAGTCTGCAGGTTGACCTGGACGGGATACATGAACACATCTGCCTCAGCTGTATCTGGGAAACAAAGAGACAATGCCAAGGTTATTTCACAGCTGTGGAGCTTTTCACTGTTACATGTGATGATCACACATCATTTACAGCACCTAACCATATGTACACATCAATGTATCGAACTGTGAGTGATCCACACAGCTCATTTTGAGTGCGTGGGAAACATGAGATTTGCAAAGTTTGCACACATACTGTGCTAAGTTATAGCACCCGCACCACACTCATAAACACCCACAGATATGCACATTCACATAAACACACAGCCAACAAACTGCTAATTCCCAAAGCAGCTGTAGGCTCGGCAGACTCTGCTACCCAGTGGCTTACTTTTGAAGATGAATCTCCAGAGCCCCCTAAGGAAAACAACGCTTTGCCAGGGATGTCCAGGAACGTTAACTGTCGCTGTCTCTCTCCATGCTCAGACACTGACGGCTGTGATGGGAAGGCACGGCGCTCCCACACTGAGGCAGGGTAATTGGCTAGAGATGATGGGCCATAAACATACATCACAGGGGCGGCGAAGCGCCAAGCAGACAGCTAACTAAGGCTCTCTTTCTACTGCGTGGCTCTTGTTTGTCGTACGCACACGCATGGGGCCACATACACACACGCACTTCTCATTGTCTTTCCTTCCCTGGATATTCACGCTGTTTGAATGCATGTGCTGGCCTACCATTATTATTATTACAACAGAGAGAGAAAAACCCCACCAACCCCTTCATTTAATCTATCACCATAAACCACGACGGCACACTCTGTACTATGCTGCGCAGACCTTTCCACCATTTCCTTGGCATCATGACCATAACCCAGAGGATGCTCTCTCCTGCCATTATCATCCACTGATATATAATAGGCACTACCCATTTAAATTGTATCATCACCATAACAGATAGGATGCCCTCTCTCTCACCATTACTACCACCACACAGTGGAGGATAATAGGCTATCCGTTCCTGCAGTGCTATCGCCACGGTGCAGACTTTCTTTCCATTACCATAACACTTCTGTCATAATAAGCAGGGAGAGTCTTCCAGTCATGACCACAGCTCTCCGAGAGGAGGTCAGTCGTGTCAGGCTGTTTGCTCACACGCTGGTAATTGGAAGAAATAAGGCTGGGCGAGAAAATAGCACTGGCACTTTCCTTTCTTCTCAGTGGTTTGCTGTGAGGCAGCATTTTGCTATGATCCAGTAGTGCTGCTGAGCCATTTGACGTGTTTAAAAAAGCAGAGAAATAATAAGAGATATTGGAAAAAGTACCAGTTAATTTTGCTCACACAATTGCGGCTGTTTGCACCAACTCATGATGCTCTATCACAATTTCCTCTAATCTGCATTCTCTAATACCGTGACATGGGATGAGGATTTCATCAATAAAATACACTTCATTCATCTAATCCTCATTTTTGTTCTTTTTTTTCCAGTTTTAGTTTGACAGGTCTTGAATGACCACTTTTTTTTTCAGAGGCATGCGCCAACCTAAAGACCCCTTCACTCTCTCAGCCGACTGGAACTTCAAGGGGAAGAGTAAAACCGATAGTAGGGAGAGGGAGAGACAAGGGGGGTCCAGGCAATGCGCTCATTATTCAGGAAGACACTCGAGGCCACAGGAAATAGCACACTTCATTTTTCTTGTCAAACTCAGGCTGGCTTAATGGCGTGTTCACAGCAAGTGGTGAGACAAAGGGATGGCGTGACCAGTCCGAGACGTGGTGAGAGTGCCGATCAAAATGGAGGCCGTCATCACAGCGGCAGCTACCCTACATTCTTCTCAAAAGTAGACCACCTGAGTTGCTGAAGCTGCTGAATGCATTACAGCAGCAAATAAATATGTCTCATCTTTCAGGGAGCAAGTAAAGGGCTAGCTTTCAAAGAGGAAAATGAAATATGGTCTCAATTATACTCTAACTGTAGAGAGGCACAGATGTTTCTATTGTTCTTCCCATTCCACATCCTCCTAAACCTTCCCTCATTATTGCATTCATAACCGGTGCCATCGATATGGCAGGCGGCTGCCAGAAAACCTGGTTGTATCCACAACTCATCATCCAAACACTAATTAATCATCCGACCAGCAATTACAGACCTTCCACCATACCTTCTATTGATTTCAAAAACTGACGCTCTTTCTATTTCATTTGTACACCAGAATCTCCTGGGACTCAGACTATAGCGAGCTGCAGGCCATGCAAAGCAATCTCCTCCTGCTCCATATATCTACTGGACTGGAACTGTGTTTTGATCAGAGAGATGATGGGGCAGGTGTTTTTGTACAGCTTCACGTCAGCTAGAAGCCTCATTCCATTGCATTCCAATCTCCTGGTATGGCAGTGGTCTGTGGTGTCAGACAGCCTCTTTTCTTCAACTCCTAATTGGGGTAATTTATTGTCCTAACAGGCAGAGCAGCTGTGGCTTTACAGCATAGCACCAATTAAATCCAGATGCTGGAAAGAAAAGATGGGGCTGAACGTGACTTGGGGACCAATCACTAATATTAACTCAGATCTCTGTGAGATGAATATGACAAGCTGTGATGAGAGATTCTTTGCAACGCATCGCTATCCCACTGACATTGAAAATATGCAATTGTGATGAGGATTCATGAAAACAGTCACAACCAGATCTCAGGCAGACGTTATGCATCATTTTTAATAATAGATGCAATTATCTGCTAGATTAAACATCGAAACAAAAATCTGCGGGGACACCTGACAGCCTGGTGCTAGGACTGCAACTGCAATGTAATCTACAATTTAGCTACTGGACTCTTGTTCTAGTTTCACTGTTGTTAAAGAAGTTTTTCCGACACAGCAGCTCTGACAGAGGATCAGGTGAATATGAGCGGACAATCTGGGGAATATGGGGAGCAACTGAAAGAAATCAGGTCGCTGAGATTTCTCCAGGGCAGGGCTAACCCTGCCATACTGTACTTGGCCCGCCTGCCTCTTCAGTCCAGGCTTCAGACGAAGAGCCCTGGGGACAGGCACAAATGTGAGTAACATAGAGGATAGAGGCATTGTGAGGTCACCACCTTGGAGCTGCAACTCACAGAGAAACCGTAGATACACAGCGACTTATTTGGCTTGAAATTCAAAAGGAAAAAGAAAGGGAGTAATGAGACAACCCTGGCGAGGTTCATCTTTTTTTGTTAATTTGTCTTATTTGTGAAGTGTGTGTCCCCTCTGTCATTATTTACTCTAAAGGGAAGGTGTTAGTTGATGTTATTTGCATAGCCCAACACAAATGAACCATAATAATGAATATTATTGTAATTTTTTCCCCATCCCTCTTGCTCTTAAATACTATGCTGTTAATCTGTAGCAACTGAGATGGTATCAATGAATACTAAAGGGTACAATTTCCTGATTGTTTGCAATTTCCTGTATGTTTAAAGAAAAGCAGACAAAACAAATAGTGAGCATAGGCTACAAAGTAAACCAGTATTGTGTCTAAAGATGCATTGATCGATACGTTGGTGAATGGAATCGGATTTCAGCTTCATCGCCCATGGCCGCTGACTGGCTGATCACTCTCACATATCTGATCCTGTGCCAGTCAAATTCACATGCATACTGCCCAGCACGATGCTTTATGTCATACGCACAGCGGCACAGACACCAACTACTGTCACAGCCACATATACACAGACACACTAAATCATGTTGTTGGCTGTGGAAGTTCTTCGCCATGAGTGAAAAACGCTCTCAGTTTGACCCCTTGTCACCTGAATTTATTTAGAATAAAAATTATTATTTTTGTTTTCATTTGCTTTCATGCTGATGCTTAATTAAGTGGATATTGTTAATTTGTCTATAGAACATAGAAAATATATAAATTCAGGTATGATGTAGGTATGATGCAAATTAGCGACAACAGGCATAAATGATAAACCCATGCTTGTAAAAGGTTCCTAGGTACAAACAGGCATTGGGGAAATATATATGATATCTTGGCTGCAGTCTGAAAGGAAGAGGTGTTATGCAAATTTGCAACAATGGGCGTTAAGGCCAAAATAAGCATTGTTTCCCTCCACAGACTTTACTTGTGCAGACGGCCAAGGTATTTAGGTATATTAACCAGTTTTAGCACTTTGCAGAGAAACACAGAGAGTGACACGTTTCATGATAATATGTCGGAATATACGGTGGATATTTTACAAGCAAAGACCAGGTAAAGCAACAGTGAACACCTGTTGCCAATGTCATTCGGAACCAATTTGGTCCCGATTGTTTCGATAGGCTCCATTATTAACAACAAGTCTCCTCCACAGTGGATCACCTGCTGCTGTGAAACGGAACAGCAGGAGAAAAAGTCCAAAACGCAAGCTGTGTTTTTTGGCCAACTTCATAAGCATACTGCTGAGGAAGAAAGTCAACAGGGCAGACACAATCAGGGAGAGAGTGACAGAAGTGTAGGTGTGTGTGTCTGAAGTCAAAAGCAAGTTGAGCAGATTAAAGCATTTTGTGAGTAAACCCTAAAATAAGGTGGAGAATAAAGTAGAATTAAAATAGTGAGAAACAACCTATTAGAAATAGGGTAGTGTATTCTTTCAAATATTTTCAAATAAAATATACAAACATATCCATTTTGTTTTTGAGATGTGTTTGAGTGGGAGTGAGAGAATGTCTTGTCACCTGGTTTTGGAGAAAATGTTATTAATAGTCAATGTTTTATTATGAACATACAATTGAATGGACCCCATGAAGATTAGCCAATGCTTGTGCTAATGGGAATCCTAAGAAAGAAAGAATTTTCCATTAAAGAAAAGTTACAAAAATGTTTGTGTATGCTGTCAATTATGGATTTGGCAGGTCAAACTTTACTTTTACTTTTATTGGTGCATCTCTGATTGTGCCATAGGCTTAAGAAAAGTTCTCTATGAAATTACAGGATTTAAGGCATTTCACTGCCTATTGTAGATTTCAAAACATTCCTTTTATCCACATAAATCAAAATATTACATGATTAGACTATTTTTTACCCTATATATAAATGTTTAGCTT